CTTGTTTTGAATAAGATAAGCAGTGGGTTGTCTATTCATGCTGCAAAAAGCTGATTGTACAAAAGGACAGTATTTCCAAAGAACAGCAGAAAGATCGCTATGCTGAAAATCCTTACTGGAGCTTCCTCGGGATTCCTGTTAACGAGATCCATAAGCAGGTGCAAATGATCTCTCTTCTCTATGAAATGAGGAAACTATGTGACAGAGCCTGGGCTTAGGCACCATTTGAACAGCAGGCTGGGTATGATTGATAGCAAACAGACCTAACTTTAATGCTTTCGGAAGCTGAATGTCTCTGTGCAACTCACAGCTTGGACAGCTCATCAGGGTCATCTAAAAATTTCATCTGCTAAGACGTTCTGTAAACTGTTAGACGCAGCTATGTCGCAGATGGCACTGCATGTACTCCACAACCAGATTTTGTAGAGGTGTCAACTGCCTTTTAGTTAAATACAGTACGGAGATTTTATTGCTTTGTGTTAGCTCGTCGCTGTGAAGATGACTTAAGATGGCATTTACTTGTGGTATCCGTTTTCTGATGACTAACTAGATGAAATTTTAGCTGCTCTGCAAGGCTACATTGCTAGAAGGCTGTTCAGTACTCCCCTCTACCTCCACAGAGCAAAGGAGAAGATTGGTTTCCCGTAACTATTCAAATTTTAAATTCTAATTAATAGCTCAACATAATTTTCTCCCTTCTCCTTCACTTTTTCACAAGTTCAGGCACTGCTTGATAACTGCTGTAACCTTTGGCAGGGGTTCATGTTTCCCATTCAACGTCAACTGCATAAAAGGGTGACTCCCCCTCCTAGTCTCTTCTGCTCTTTACTTCCAAATTAAGGCAAAATACACATGCTTTGTTTAACCAATCATATTTAAAGTTATTTTTTTACTAAGCTCTCATCTAGACAATTAATTTAGCTGGCCTAAGAATGTGAATTTATGACTTAAGTCATCAAGCTTAAGCAGTGGGGAGGACAGTTCTCATCCCTCTTTTTCTGGGTGTGCTCAAGCGACTGGAGACTTGAGCATCCCTGATATTAACCACTCTGCTCTTGCTCAGCACTTTACACATTTTGTATCAAATGAAGTTTCAAAGATGGCTACGCAACATGTAGTCTCTGTGCTCACGAGAAAGGCCTTTGGGTGGATTACAAAGATGTAACACAAACATACGACAATGTATTAATTTAGTACATAAAGCAGAGAATGTTACTAAACCCTATAACATGTTCTTAGTATTTTTAAACTTGCTAAGGAGAAAGAGCTGTTCACATCCAGAATAATTCTTTTAAGTTTGACCAAGCTCAGTATTTGGCATTTCACAGTAGTTTCTAAGCCTGTATTTATAAGATAGCAAACTAAATTATCAAGTAGACATATTCTAAAAAATCAACTGTAAATTATTAGTTGACCTTCAGAACAGACCTAGGATCTTGATATAGACCTGAATATGTCACAATATCAACGTCACAACAGACACTATGACTTCACATTCTGTTATGACAGCATTGTAACAGCAAATTAATAAACACATGCAATAAATGGTGGTTTCAGGCACTGTGTCTCCAGGCTGGAATCTGTCAGAACCAAAGAAAAAGCTTTCTATTGCCTTTGCACCTTCATTATCTGTCATAACTATAAACCTCAGCATTTAGCATCCCAAACTTCTTTCAGCAAAACACTGTTAGAACCTTCAGAACAACAAATGATGATAATCTGCCTTATTTTTGCAGTGTTTCCACACCCTCCTGTATGTTCATTGTTCATAATTTCAACCTTAGTTCCCACTAGAAATTGTGGAACCAGAACAGGAAATCATCAAATTGTAATTTCTTTCTGTAGCATTACTCAGCTGAGTTGCATAATGTACAGAGATATTTCCAGTTATCCTGGTAAGAGAACATTCTGAAAGAATGTGGGCAAGGGCACAGCACAGCTTCACAGTAGTCGAAATTACACACATTATGTTGTGGTCTAAATTTTTGGCAATGAAGTGTGTTGGGGGTTGGGGTTGGTTGTGTTGGTTTTTTTTCTTTCTCAGGGAGCAGGAAGTCACTATTGGTATATGAAAGTAGAAATTTAGAAAACAGGCGGTTCAATTTGGTCAGTAAATAAAGCAAGACCTCCTTTTCAAGTAATTCAAGCAGGCCTATGTTCGATTTGAAAGCTATATATTTTCTTACTTATTCAGGGTCAAATTCAATGTTTTTACACAAAACATTTAACATTTATAAAATAGGATAAAAAGCCCATTTTCTGGTAGGAAGGCAGCCTGGTTTATGAGACTAAGGCAATTAAAAAAATAATCAGAAATAGGATTTTTTATACATGTATCCTAGTATCATGTATTTTAAAAAAATATTACTGCAAAAAGAACATAGCAAGCTTTGCTCTATGTCTCTGTTCCTAAAGGCTGATGGAAGACAATCAGACAACCAGACCTGGAAGAGACAAAATAAGAGAGACTTCTCTATACACTTTGCCTGAAAATTTTCAGAAACCAAGAAATAAAACTGAGCTTCATTAGTACCTCCAGAGGCAACCAGCACAGTAAAAACTAGCAGCATCTCTAACTTCGAGGAAGGATACTGCTTCAACCAGACAAAAAGGATACTACACATTTGGCATCTTTTTCACATAACTGCTTGGCCGCAACCTAACAGTATGATTTCTGCCGGTTTTTAAATACTGGTTGTTGATATGATGCTGTATGAAGACATTTGAAGCTTTCAGTTACCTAAACCTAAGACAATTTAAAAACAGAGTATCAAAAACTATAAAAAATTTCACCCTTAGAGTAACATGCAACAATGGACAGTGATTGTTAAAAAAAGATGCCTTTCTACCTGCCTCCAAGTTTCCAAGATCAAATGTGACAAGACCTCTATTTACAATTTCTATTGTAAATAGAAATTAGATAACACCACCATAAAAACTGAAGGCAAAAATCAGGAATAAGAAAAAAAACATAGGTTCCTATTTAACACTAGGAGAGAAAATTCCAAAATAAGATTTAGCAGTTCTTAAATATGCAAGATGTTTTCCTCATTTACACATAAAGAGAGCAAGAGAGCAGAAAGCTCAGGCTTTACCTTCATCTAATGGGAACATATCTCTCAACTAGAAGATTAAATGCTGACTACCAACTTTTGGAAGAATAACAAAATTTGGGAAGCTTGCCTTAGCTCCCTTACCTAGGCAATGAAAAGCTGGCAGTGTTCAAGGCTAGGCTGGATGGATCCTTGGGCGACATGGTCTAATGTGAGGAGTCCTGCACAAGGCAGGAGGGTTGGAATTAGATGATCTTAAGGTCATTTCCAACCCAAACCATTCTATGATTCTATTATTCTTCTCCAATATCTCATAGAAAAACTAGACAATGCCATTTCTAAGTACAGACATGCAAACTGCCATAGTTAAAGGGAAAAGAAATAAAAGGTGGAGTAAAAAATTCTAACAATCTTTCAGTCTTTGGGAAGAGATAAATGGGTGAAAAACTAAATCAAGTATTCTGGACTACTTCAGGACATCCTGTCATGAGACATCAAAGCACTCTGCTGAGATAAGATTTCTCCTAACACACATACCTGCATAAAATAAAAGTTGTACGATGAGAAAGGGGTAAGGAAGACTGTTTAACGAGGATCTGCTGCAGAATACTCAGATTCAGTTATTCATGCAAAACCTGCATTTACCTATATGAATTATGTACTTCATAGAGAGTAGGCAGCAGAATGTCTAAACTCGGCTGCAAATGATTCACCCTATTAAAAAAATAAATAAATTAAAAATCCCTAAAGCAACCGAAGTCTACATGAATGGGGCCTTCAGCAACCTAGTCAGCAACCTGGTCTAGTGGAAAGTGTCCCTGTCATTGGTGGGGGGTGGAACTAGATGATCTTTAAGGTTCTTTTCAACCCAAACCATTCTATGATTCTATGATGCAGATAACACACTCATGCAAAACCAACAATATCCCTGTGGAGTGGTCCCTTTACCAAAACCTTCTGCTTCATTTATAGGATACATGCTCAAACATGTTAAAAATTCATGGACCAATGGTAGTAAAGACGAAATGATAACCTTTCAGTATGTGCATATCTGAAAGCATAATCTTGAAACAGTTTCAGGTAAGACAACCATGATGAAACTTGATTTGATGTCATGAAACTTCCATCAGGAACCAAGTTAACATCTACCCCAGAGCATTTAAGAGGTTTCAACCTTGCTGAAAATCTAATGAACACCCTCAAGATTCACTCTACTGAATTTATATAGATAATAAACAAGATCTACAGAAATTGTAGAATATAAAGATCTAAGTTTTAATCATAGGAACATTAGATGAAATTCGACTCCACAAGAACTCTCATTAGAAGAGTGCTTTCTTCCTTTTACTGGAGCTAACTCTCGATCACGTCAGACTCAGGGACAGAACTGGGCAGCCAAATAGCTTACCTGTATACAGATAATTAAGAAGAAACACAATCACAGAACAACCATGCCTCCAAAAGCCACAAATTCAACAAGGGAACAAATATCAAACAATAATGGAAGTTAGCTGCCTTTGCAACATTTTCAGTGGTGCAACAAATATATTGGCTTTGCTAAATGTTCGCACAGTTACCTGAGCCAATGCTTGTAAGTAAAAGCTTATACATACAATAAACACCGGGAACACACTTCCTTAAGCTGCCAGTTGAGTTGTACCACAATTACAGTCCAGTTTGTATTTCTGTATAACTCAACCACTGCAGTTCAAGAAATCACATTAAGGAGACACACCACACTTAACCGCCTTCTATTCCTCCTGCTTTTTACTTTTTTCTTTGTAGTCAGCATATGTACTGACTTATTCCCAACTTTATCTGGAGAAACACAGGTTTTAAATTCCAGCTACATGGATTTATAATCTTTACATTTAAAACAAGTAACAGTTTGCTATGGTAAGATTTAGGTACTGCATGTTTTTATAATCAAACAAATAAATGCTATACCTCCAAGTTCTTTTACGTTCAAGATGGCATTCTGGAATGGCACCGCTTTTATACTAAAACCTGAGAACAGAAATTAAGAGTATTAGTAAGTTATATCAGTTACAAGGGAGGGGAGAAAGAATAAATCAATGTGAGCAATAAAATCTCCAGTGATACTATGAAATACTTGGCACACATAAAATTCAGCACACAACTTCCCTCCAGGCCACCTACCATTTGGTAAAGAGTTAGTATGGAATATACCTTTATAAAACCATCTTTTAATGTATCTGGAACTACCAGTTTAGATTTCAGACTACCAGTAATATGAAGCGATCCTTCTGCAATAGGAGACTTGGAAGATAACATGCAATTCAATTCACTATTTTCTTATATTTAAACTTCATAGGTTTTGGTTACAGCTAGAGTATCTATCCTTCTATACATGTTATTAACAGGAAGATCCTTTTACAGACCTAAGTACTACATATTAAAATGGTTACAAACACACTAGAAGCATCTATGAATCCTCTATTAGTCTGTTACACGATTAAAACTTAAAAACTTCCCCAAATTGTGGTGTTTTCCCTTAACTGAAAATTCAGACAGCCAGCAGAAATGTAATGTAAAAAGCTCCCAGCAATCCATCAATATATTATACACTAAATTCTGCATGTTTAGTGCATACATATAAATGTATAAAACACTTTATATAGGAAAAATTATGCCTACTCTTTCAGCATAAAATGTCCAGATAGACATTAAATTTATTTCCATTTAGCACAAGTAGTTTCAACATGATTACATACCTGTGAACTGAGTAAAGAAGTTATGAAAAACAGTCTTTCACTCCAAGTTTATTACCTATCACTTAACAGAAATAAGATGCTTTTTCTCCCAGATCAGACCAGTAAGATATTTGAGTACTCCAAAAATGGTCAGTGCTAGATGCAGTAAAGTGCAAGAAAATCTGAAGGGAATACTTATGAAATATTTTTGTTGTTGTTGTCTTAAAACAAATCCTAAACTCTTCCTAGAAAGGAGGAAAAACTGGAATGGACCTGAGTGGCATTGATGAGAAAAACAAAAATATAGGTTATAGTTTGAAAACTGAGTGGAGAAGTTGTTACATTGTACTCTTGAATTCTCAACAATATTTTCTGATATAGCACAGATATGGTACATATGGGTAGATTTATTATAAGCTGAATAGCCTAGATATGTATCATTTTGGTATGGATGCTGCCTAGTTTTCATCAGATCCTGTTTTCATTCCTTAGGCTGCCTAACTAAATAATGGTATTTTGTGGTAACTATATAGAAACATGTACAAAACTTCATTTAAAAAATAATACTATTTTCATTATTTCATTTGATAGACCTATACTGCTAAGTACATTGCTGTTACTATTTCTTTCAGGATCTGAAGTGTTAAAGCATAATTTGCACTAATTTTAGGTGAACTCTAAAGACGGGGGGGGGGGGGGGGGGGAAAAACAAAAAGGCTGAATTATTCTACAGTTTCCTTCCAGCTTTTCAAGTTAGCCACTGATAACTTCCCCATGCAATGAAGTGTGAGATGTCTTTAACATTTCCAGTAACACCACTGGAAAGGCAATGGGCTCATGGCTCACTGTAGAAAAAAAATCCAGTATTTCCTTGTACCTGTTTTTTTGTTTACTTAAGAGTTGTATTAAATAACTTTATGTTCTTGTGATTTAAACAAAGATAAAGTGAAAACCAGTTAGGGTTGCTAAGGGACGATCATGACATTCAAGCCCATGAACCACAGCTATAATATAAAGCCATGTAACTATAAACACAGGTTACTTGCACAACACTCACTATCTGTTCCCTCGGCAAATCAACCTTAGCAAACTGCTACAGCCACAGAACTAGATTTCTTCCATCTCTATGATCTAATCTGTCCTCTTTCTGAACTTTGCAGCCAAGTACTCCCTTTTCTTGTTCCACGTTTGTTTCTGGGTTTGTTTTTTTTTTCTGGTGCTGTTGGTTTTGGGGGTCATTTGTTTTTGTTTTGTTTTTTAATCAAAATACCTTTTTCATTAATAAGCATTCTGTTTCATCTATATCTGCATGCATATGCAATTTTTTTGGACTTATGATACCTTTTATCTGTGTTTATTGTGTCTTTTTTTATGAATCTTCTCAATGCCACTGAAACCTTCTGTAAATTGAATGTCTGATCTCAATCTGCCCTTACTATAAAAACAAAGTATTTTTGCTGATCTAAAAAGTAAAAATTATCACCAGAAAAAAACATTTCTATTACATTTATTCTTTTGGTTGATAGTGTATACCACAGGGCACTACTGACCAAGTATGAGAAGAAATAAATCACAATTAGGTTTCAAAGCATTACTATCTCATTCTGTGTTATAGCACATTCTCCTCTTTTCTCTCCATGTAACAAGACTGCTTAAAACAAAACAAAACAAAACAACAACAACAACAACAAAAAAAAAAAAACAAAAAAACAACAAACAAACAAAAAAACTCCAAAGTAAAAAGAGAAGAAAGAAACCTTTTAATATGTCTGCAATATACTGGTACTGTATGTTTCCAATGGTTATATTTCATTACATCGCAGCTTAAGTTTTGACTTCATACACATCCCAAATCTCATGTTTTCATGGACAGTCCCCAGTGTATGACCAGCGACTGAAAAAGTAAGAGGTGGGAGCTTCAAAGCAATCCATTACCTACTTTCAAAAGCAAGATAACTAAGCCTAAATTCTCTACCACCTTTGCTATACATTTCAAAAGTTACCTCTAGGCAATGTTACAGCACACCATGGAATAAAGGCAGCATCCTACCTGTGGTAGACACTATATTCTCCGGGCTTTCACTGCAAAGCTGTGACAGAAGACTTGTCTTGCCAGAACCAGTGAGGCCTATGCAAACCAAGTCATATTCAGGTCGTGGTGGTGGCGGTCCCTTGCAGCAAAGTGCTCGAAAACACTGCCAGGGTAGGGAAAAACAAACAAAGCAAAAACAAAAGGAAGATGTTACTTTTTTGCAAATGTTTATTCAACAAGTTTCTAAAAATCAAGTTTATAAATTTAAAGGCATTGGAGAGAAGCAAATAATTATTCCAACCTTCTATTTTGACAAAACCTACAGTTAATAGAGTGACACCACCTCAACTAAAATCTAGAACAGCTATCTAAGAAAACACAAATATACCTGCTAACTTTTCAGCTAAACCTCACAGAGCTAGATGTCACTGCCCTCAGTCCATTTCCTGACAGCATGTACAGTAGACATACAGGACATACAGTAGGCATACAGGGAGGCACATGCCCTACTCAACTCTGCAGTGGGGTATGCATGAATTTGCTTCCTGCGCTAATTTCATGCAATACCTGGTGTGAACATCATAGCAGCTCCTAAGCAGCTGCTAGCCAGGCTCTACCTGTTGTCACAGGAAAGAATCAGAGATGTGCTCCTCTGATGCCCTTCCTCAGTTTGCTTTGTCAGATGTTTTAACTTGCAGTATCAGCTGTTAAAAAGAGTACAGACTGCAAAGAAATAAATTTTGTGGACAGCTCTAGTCAAAAATACAGCGATATCTCACCTTCTCTCACACCTCTTAAACAGAATTTCCAAAGTATGCCAAGCTCACCTGAAAGGTCCTCTAAGCCACTGGTTTAAAGATTCGTCAGACCTTTCTTTATACATGATATGGAAACATTTTATGTAAAAATCTAAAAAACATACAGTTCTGGGAAAGCTAGGAAGTATGTATTTAAGTTAAGGGTTACAATTACCTGCTACTGTGCAAGATAGACCTGCATCAGCCCCGTATATATAAATACCTTTTTCCCCAATATCTGCCACCTTCCTACCAAAGGAACAAATCTGCTACAACAAGGAAAGGAAAACGTTTGCACAATCACTCATCTCACACATTCGGTCTTTACATATTCCCAGCTCTTTTCTTCCATCTTAACCACAGGCCAATCACCACACTGAGTAAAGAAATCCAGTCTTCACAACCTTAACCTAGTTTGTGTACATTACTACTCAGGATCTCTCACTGCAGGCTAGTGTAAGAGAAGAGAAACTGAATGGACATCAGCAAGGTGCTGTTCCAGTTAGTGGGGTCTGGCTCTGTGAGCAAGTCATCCCAAGAGAACATGGTTATAAAAAGACAGCTCACTGAATGCAGAACTTTTATTGGATTCTTTCCATTTAGATAGCAAGTTATTACACATACTGCTGAACAGTCTTCATTGGTTTAAAAAAGCAAAAGACAGCAAGTTCATGGAAAGTTACAAAATTCCTTCAATATCTTTTAAAAATGTGAAAGGAAATATTTTAGGAGTAAAAGCATTTACAGTAGTAGTTAAGCTGAACAAAGGCAATAGATGTTAAAAGCTTTGCCTCTATTAAATTTTGACTCAATTTTCTTTTTTTTTAAGGTCTGCCCTTCTATGTGTGTCTGTAACACAGTAAACATGCCTTCTAGCTTTATTCACTGACGTCAGTTTATACTTATCTCACAGGCTCTACAAAGCCATAGCAAATATTCTACTCTGGTACTTAAGTGGGAAAGGCCAATTGAGTCCACTGCACAAAATAAGCTCCTTCAAACAGAGTTTCCACTTAATGGACATCATGCTGAAGGCCACAAAATTCTTCGAAGCTTGCCAGAACTCCCGAGGCTGTGTGTCAGGCCCTTTGCAGCCAGTCTTTAAAAACTATTCAATTTGTCCCTGTCATCACTGCATCTTTGCAACAACTTCTTGATGTCTTAGTGAAAAACATAAAGGAATAGATGAGCTCATAAAGGAATAGATGAGCTGATGAAAGTCTGTGCTTCTCTCTGGCCAGACACTGTGCCAGTTCTTATGCAACCAGACACAACTCTTGCAGCCCTGACTATGTTTAATAACCTGCAGTTCTGTCAAAGATAATTATCTCTTTGTAGAACACATATGGAGGCTCTGTTGGTGACAGAGGGGCTCTGCAAGATGGTTTTGTTAAGTTCAGTATCTGTTTAGTGCAGATTCCTTAAGTCTAACTTAGTCTGGAGAATCTCTACTTGCTGTTGATTAAACATATGATCAAAAAGCCAGGTCATGTTCAAAACAGCTTACATAGACCCACCACTCCCTCACTCATCCTTCACTAGTAAACGCAGTTATGAAAGGTATTGAAGTCCCTGAGATACAGCAGATACAGGATCCCAGAAGACAGAGAAATTACTCCCTCCAGACCACTCTCGTATTTTATTTGATGATTCCCCTATCTTTGTTATATTCGTGACTTTGTCCTTCTGCAAGGCTAATTTCCTTCAGTAGATATTTTTGTTTCGTTAAAGTGAAAACAGACTTCAATACTCTAGCTTCAAAAAGCTGCTGAAATTTCAGCTGCTATGTATAGCACTTACCACTGGCTGACATGAGAAGTTCTACAAGCACATTTTAGGGGATACTTGCAACAATGTATTTTTAATTTCATAAACTTTTTTCACAATCCTCCTAACTCAAGCTCAATGAACATTTCTTCCTTTGGAAATATCACAATGCAACAGTCTGATCACTGTCATCCTGTTCTCTCAGTAGATTAAAGTTACTTGGCCACTAAAAAAATCAGGACTATTTAAGCTTCCATTATAGAGACTAAACCTCTATTATCACAAATTTGGCAGCAGCATGTAGTAGCTGCACAAGATCTGTGGAGAGCAGAAAATTCAGAGGTCATTGACCACATGAATAAAATTACATCCTATATTCAGCTTTAGATTATACACAGGAAATGTGTCCTGAAACATTAAATAAAGCGTGGATGAGAGCTATACCATTATTTAAGATGTCGTCACACATTACAGTGCAGTCTGAAATGCACAGAACTTCAAGAAATGTGTATTAGTAACTAAAGAAGCCATTCCTGAAATCCAAAACATAAATATATCAAAAACACTGAGAGAGTTGTTCAATTCACAACTGCTCTAGTCCTTTCCAGAATGTAGTTTCCACTCCATCTGGACAACCCAAAGGGCGTATGAGAAACTTCAATTAAGTCTGACTGGTCTTGAAACACTTGCCAGATATGGACCTGGAAGACTTTTTCACCAATTCCAAACCTGATTTGCTCAGTGAGTGACTGTCCAAAAAAAGGCTGTCATTTATCTATTACAAAATGAACTCCGAAACCAAGTAAGGCCACTCAGAGGGAGGGAGTGTAGGAGATGAGAGAAAGAAAACATTTGACTACCTTAGCTACAGGGCAAGCAGAACTAGCTTGCATAGTCACCAAAATATTGAGTGTCTACATTTTCAGCCCCACTGCTAGCAACTAAAAAGGAACATTTTTTGGAACCCTTTCATCATATCCAAGACAGACCTTACTTTAGAGGGTCAGACATGTCACACAAAGTGTCAGTTTTCATTATTTTTGAGAACATCACACTCAAAACTCTTTATAGGTATTGGATGCTGAGAAGAAGTAGGCAAAGGAGGCAGGCAGGGAGAGTGAGAATTTAATTATTTTTGGTTTAAGGGAATGAGCAGATTTTAAAGTTTGGTACAACAATACAGTATCTTGAAAAAAGTGTTTGCATTTAGCCAGTTTTGGAAAAAAAGGATGTTATTAACCCAGGAATCCAAGTAATCAGGTGCTTCAGTCTGCAGTAAGCTGCAGTATTCACAGCACCACTGATGCTTTCATTTCACTTGTATGTATATGTGCATGCTGCATGTGCACATATAATCATACACAAGAGCTAAGGGAAGAAGTTAACCAGTCCTACTTCTACTTAGGGAATTCTATCCCAACCAGATTATTCCAGTTTTAGTTAGATAAGTATTTGAGCTGACAACCCTGGACAGTGTCCCTTTAAAGCCCTACGGAGATTTATTCCAGGAAAAGCATTAAATATTGTGCTATAGCAGGAGTGGCCAAACACTTCTGAGATATGTGCCGCTCAGAGACCACAGATTGAAGCTCCAGGCAGCAAGCGTCCCTGAATTAGTGCTCTCTCCAACGCATTACACTGCCTCTGGCCATTGAGTCTGTCTTTGCCTACTCATTGTACTTCGTTTCACTCTCCTTTTTGGGGTGAAATACTCCATTATTTCTGCTTTGTTCTGGACCCATCTCCTGTCTGTTTCTTTTGTTGCCACTATTTAATAGGGACAAACAGAAGCAAGGGATTTCATGCTTAGTTGGTTAAACACACACACTCTCATGCAAAAATACCCTAAGTTAGTGCAACATTAATGCTAACAAACCAACCGTTCAGAGCTCTTGAAATCCAGAATTAAGGCCGAAAGCTCAACCATAACTGTGCTCCCCTCACCCTCTTGCTTATACTTACAGATATGGTGACCCTTTACATTTCATTTTTCAATTCAGGTACCTTCGAACAAACAGACTTCTAGTAGCCAGAACACACTTCTATCCAGAGGCCTGGTTAGTCATCTGAACCAGTTGGTGAAAACTCAAGGGGATTATTAAAAGAAGTTAAATTTACATACAGCATCAGGCTCCATAGCTCTGATGTTGTATAAGATCACGTAAGTGCAAAGAATTCTCAAACCTTGAAGAGATAATGTGAAAGGTGGGGGAAAAACCCACAGTAGACTGTTACAAATAATACTGATGATAGGAAAGTGGGGACAACAGTGGAATAACCGAATGCAAATAAAATGCTTAAGGCACCTGAATGTAATTACACAGAGCTAGAAGAGAGGGGAAAAAAGAGATATATAAACAAACTGAATTTTTACTGTATGCTACATTTTTTTTTACTTAATTAAATTTTTACTTAATGCTAAATTAGTACACTATGAATCTATTAATTCGACGGGGCAAGCCAAAGCTACAGACTCTTCAGTTTCTATACTGCTGTATAGTGGTCTTACCACTACAAAAAAAAAAGGAGGATGAGCCTAAAAGTATCATTTTTAAGACACACAACCAGTGACACTGTTTTCATGTTTTCAAAACATCAG